ATATCCACTGCCACCCCTGCATCCAATGATTTAGTGACCTGGTCGTAAAAGGCCACCAGGTTGGTCTGACAGGACCTGCCGCTGATGAACCCGTGCTGGTTGCCCCTGAGCATGCCGTTCCCTGCTGGCCCCTCCTGGATGTGTGCCAGAATAATTTTCTCGAACAGCTTGCCCAGGATCGAGGTAAGGCTGACTGGCCTGTAGTTCCCCGGGTCCTCTTTCCTCCCGCCTTTGAAGATGGGAACCATGTTGGCCCTCTTCCAGTCCTCCGGCACCTCTCCAGAGCACCACGAGTGTTCATAAAGCCGCGCCAGGGGACTTGCAATGACCCCAGCCAGTTCCTTCAGGACTCTAGGGTGAAGATCATCCGGGCCGGCTGACTTAATGATGATGCAGATGACAGCGGGCTCCACAGGACCCCCAGGTCCTGCCCCACATAGCTAAACCCTGGCCCTCCCACTCCCCAGTGACCTACCTGCTGTTTCAGGTCCCAGGTTGACCCGGTGTGGCCACTTTCCCCTTCCCTTGCTCTCGCACCACCTCCCCGCAGCCCCCCCTTCCGCAAAGCCACAATCGCAGCCCCTAATCGGATGATCCCCGTGGAGAATCAGCTGCATATTTCAGCCAAACAGCCACAAACCCCAGCAACAGGCCATAGGCACCCTCAGAGAAACAGGCTTGCTCAGTTATCTGAGCCTGCGCCGTGACAATTTATCTGATTGAACAGGAACCGCAGCACAGATTTGCTGCTCTCGGGGAGGTAAAATCTGAGCAGGTAGGGAAAGCAATTGCAATCAGTAACTGAGAGGCAGTTTTAATCATTCAAGCCAGCACAGCCAGAGAGACAGAGGTCATGCCTAAATCATGGCCAGGCTGGGCTTGTCTGTGGCTTTCATGTGAAAAAGGATCTGAGCAGCTCCTAGCTGGATTTATTGCTGCCGGTGATGAAACCTTATCTCGGCCTTTGAAGCTTCCAGGATTTTTCCCCTTATACAGTCTCCCCTTCCCCAGGGTGTCTTTGGGACGCTCATCCTCTAACCACAGGTCTTGCAGCCCTGGTCTGTGGCCTGAACCTCAGCAGCCAGGAGTCACAGGCCGTTTCCCCCCCCAAAGCATTCGAGTCACGTACTACCCACTTCCCCATGACACCCAGGTCGCTGCAATTCGGTCTGGACATCGTCCAGATTTCATGCCAGGCAACGATGAAACCAGCCTCAAACTCTTTGCCCAGCTCTCATCTATACAAGTGCTCGGTGGGAGCGTTTATACCAGACCGGACTTGCCACAGTTAAGTCTTGGCATCTATATGTGCGGCCCTCTTAGGTCGAGGGAAACTAATTAACTCCGCTATAGGTTAGTACTTGCAGCAGCATTATTTAGTGCACTGAAAGCATGTGTAGACACTGATGGGGCTGGCTGGGGCATGATGGTGCGTCAGCCATTCGTGAACCCTCTCCCTGAGGATGAGCCCTCTGCTTATGTGGAAACCAGCACACTATGGAGGAATTAGAATAAAATGAGCTGGGACAATACCCATTTCACAGGAACACACTGGAGAGGCAAGCCTGCTTGCTCAACGAAGAGGTTCGAAGAGGCAATCCATTGACTCGCTAATACTGTATTTAGAAAGTGCATTGGCTGAAGTGTGCAAACCGTCTCTTTGCCATGCACTTAACTGAGACACTGGCAAGCCAGCCCAAAAAGGTGCAGCAATAACTTGGGCTCTCCTAGATCCATGCATAAGGAAACCTGACCCCACTGCCTAGCTTTCCTAAATTAATCTCCAATTCCTTCTCCATACCCCATTGCAAATCCCATTAACAGCAAGGCTGTTTAGTACAACAGAGTCATCCAAACAGAACTGATTGCACCTACTGCTGGGATTCATCTGAACAGCCTGCTCGGCGGGGGCACAACGACACGCGTGTTTGCATAATGTGACGACAGCACGGCAAGAGCAGAACAGCACCGCCAGCCCCCGGATTTCCAGCAAGACCACCCCCCCGCTGCAGACTCCCAGATTAAACCAGGAATATGTGAAGTTATATCGATGCCCACAAATTCTGGCTGCAAGATGATAGATGCTAGAAAGAAAGAGTTTGAAGGTACGTGTAAACCAGGCAGCGTGGCAGCCGGGTGTGCATCAAAGATATTCAAATACAGTTATGAATGATTGTTAAAAAAAAAGTTTTACACCAAAAGTTTAGTCTCACTTGCCCTCTGAATGACTTCACAGATACGCACTGTGGATGTCCGGCTCAAGGTTAGTCCGTCGGGGTTCCCTGCATTTGTCCTTAGAGCAGATTTCCCCGATCTCACAGGCGATGCTTGCAACAAGTCTGCATGAAAACACAGGACAGTAACTTTGCAGACGATCCAGGCTCCATCCATCCAGAGGTTCATTCTATGAAGAACGCTCTCCTCAGAAAGGTCCCACAACATCTGGCCCCACGGTGTGCAATTCCTGGTGTGCACCACGTCACAGCTATGACAAGGCCCTGTGAGAAGTTCCTAAAGCTCCTCTTTCATTTCCAACAGACAAACCTGCAAGCTCTTGCACCAGTCATGCACCCCAGCCCCCGAACCATTTTTGTTACCTTCCACTGGACTCTCTCCAATGTGTCCACATCCTTTCTGTAGTGGGGAACCCACAGCTGGACACCGGACTCCAAATGTGGCCTCCCCAGTGCTGAATAGAGGGGAAGAATCACTGCCCTCGATTTGCTGGCAGTGCTCCTCCCGATGCAGCCTGGGATGCCGGTAGCCTTCTTGGCATGAGGGCGCACTGCTGGCCCCTGTTCAGCTCCTTGTTCATTGTCACCCCCAGGTCCTTTTCTGCAGAGCTGCTGCCCAGCCTGTCACCCCCAGCCTGCCCCAGTGCAAGGGATTGCTCCCTTCTCAGTGCAGGACTTTGCACTTGTCCTCATTGAACCTCAAGTTGAGTGAAAGAAAAGTGAAACGGGACCAGGAAAAGCTACAAACTTGGATCAGACTGAACAAGCCAACACTGAGGTGTATTTAAATGTTTTTATTTCAACTAATGCTTTGCCACCATATTACATCACTTTGAATAGCTCAGAATAGCAATATGATCTCAAAATATAGCAAACAGCTTGCCAAAGCAAGAGTATATTAATTCCTATGGATACAGCTCCTTCCTTCTTTGGTGACAACACTTTCCAGTATTTTTCTGCAAAAATAGTTTTCTGTTTCGGCATGGTTGCTGTTCAGTTTATTGAACCCTGCTGTTTGTAACATTTGCTTCTTCTCCTCGCAAAACTTGACCACAATGTTCTGTAGTTTTATATCCAACAGCATTTTAAATAAAAAAGTATAGTTTTCATGCAGACTTTGTAAAAATTATTTTCTAGGTGCACACAACTGAATCAAGATGCGTACGAAAAGGCATTCATTTCCATTCCCAGATGTCACGACACCAGCAAAATGACAACAGCTATTATTGTGAAAGGCTGAGTTTCATGGTAGTCTCAAATGTATTTTAAATGTGAAACCCTTTAAAAAAAGTAACCAGAGAAAAACTACTAGGCTTTATTTGTAACATAATCAAAATATTGTTAGATGTATAAAAAAAGCACCGTGTAAAGAGAATACTGCAGGAAGATTCAGATATATGTTTCAATTAACCTTTTAAGCCATGCTACTGGTTTGCAGCTAGTCCTGTAACTTTATAGTTACAAACGCAAGCAGAAGCTGAAACCCAGAACACACTTTGACCGCAATACAAATTAAACTGGCTGTCAGATAGAAAGCAAGATCTGTGTCTCTTAAGCTTCATGCCAACCCACCTTAGCAACCCTCAGAAGAAAAAACATGGAATATCTGAGAAACAGCACATCTGAAAACCCCAGAGCAGCATGCTAGGATGCTGGGCTGATATGAATGCATTTCTGTAAGCACTTGACAAGTCAAACTTTTACCCTGGGAAAAGAGCAAGTCTGTTGGGCTAAACTCCTCTCCCTGAGATTTTTGATAGCGTTCCCGTCTTGCAAAGCAAAACCGAAAGTCCTTTAAACTTCAACAGGTCTTAGGCCAACTGCATTTCAAGCTGGACACAGCGGATCTGCTAGTCTCGCACCTGGGATGGCAAGCTGGGCTTTTCTGCACGTGTCAATGATTTTATACCCTCTTCATTCCCCTGCCCATCAAGCACGCAAACACGGTCATGACCATCTTCGGTTTTACCTCCACCAGGTCCTCTGGGAGAGCATACACTCGGGCACCAATTCTCCTTGCCATTGACACCGCATACCTGTTTGCCATTCAAGAAAACAGACAGAGTCCAGGTGAGCATTTACAATCCTTTGCCCTTGAATACGACTAGCCTCACATCTTTCTGCCAGAGCGACTCCAATCACCACTAACAAACAGACGTAATTTGGGCTTCAAGATAGCTAAAACAAATGTGCTTCCCCCTACCTGAACAAGGTTTCAAGACACTGCACTGCTTTTTAAATAACTTCAGTCCAGGAAAATGTTGTATTTCTACGTATGATACTTAACACTTTGATTACAGGTCTTTCTACAGCTGATGAGAAAAATATAATACATGCTCTGCATTGTCTACTATGTATTTTAAAATCTGGTGAGATGGTAAAAATTATTCAATGCCTTCTGGAATTAATGTTTCCGAGTAGGTTTCCTCCCTGTTTGCTTTCTATGAATATTCAAGCAAACCTTAGCACTAGCAAGAAAGTTGCCTGAAAACTTCCTGCGAGTTACTATGATAGAGTCACCCCAGAGAGGAAGTTTCCAACATCCACTCTGTGCATTGCGCGACAAGCTTGCTTTGAAGCACCATGCTGAGGACACTGCTAAAGGACCCCTGGGCCCAGTCTTGAGTTCAGATTTCAAAACACCTGCTCCTGACCAAGTATTGCAGAGGTCAGAGATGAAGATAAAGAGGATCACATTGCTAAGCGCTATCTGAGCATTCCTGCTTTCCTCTCAAAAGCCTGGGAGGACCACAAACAAGCAACTCTTGCGAAGCTGGAGGGTGGTTAGGTTTGGGAGAGCAGACTGGCCTGGGAGCAGCAGAGATGCACAACATAGGAACAGTGATGCTCCAGCCTCAGGCTGGACAGACTTACTTTGCATTATTTTGTTTGTCATCTTCCGACAGGTTGCCAGTCTTTACAAGATCGTAGCTGATACAACCAGGCTGTATAGCATCAATTAAATCCACCACCGCCAAGCTTGTGCTGATAGTCTTGTCCTGGTAGGAGACATGGTAACATGCATTAAGGAATGGACGGATTTGCTCTGTTTCACATTCAATCCAGAGGCAGTGGAAGGTGCAATGAAAACCAGACCCTCCAAAAACACTGGTCTTGACCTTTCTAAGATGTACTGAATTATTATAAGGTTTTTGCCCCTTACTTTAGGCTGGGGGAAGGCTATTCCCCGAGCTACCATGCTGTGGCAAGGCTACGCAAGAACTGGGTTGCAGGAAACAAGAGCCCCACTCCCATCCCTCCAACATCGTTAAATGAAGTTGTCTAGGAAGAACGTGGGACTAGATGGTGAGTCCAGTTTCAAGTTATAACATAATACAGTTACGTTAATATGATATCGTCAGCACACAATCCCATCCAAAAACCACTCACGCTTTCTCTGCCTGGGAGCTAGTTAGGACTTTCCTCACCTGGGACTTCAAGGCTATTCCAGAACCTCACTCAGATGGCTGAGAACCCAATTTCCAGGTTAGTGTTTATTCATGCATGATTTATAACCCTCTGGCCCTGTGTCAACACTGTCCTTTAGTTTACACAGTGGTTCATGGAGTACAGATGTATGCAGCTGGAGTGCAGATGTTTGCCTGCAGTGCCAGGCAAAGGAAATGCCTATCGCCCCACTCCCATCGCAAAAAGGAGTCTCGTACCTTAAAGCTCTGGATGGAAGTCGACTTGCCAGCTTCCTTTAAGGTCCTGTTCACCCAGTTTACAATGATGTCATCATTTGCTTTTTGACCGTCGCCGAGATCCTCGAGCACATTCAATGTGTATCTGGGACCCAGTGAGAGACCATTACTTACAAGCGAGGAGCAGACAGGGCCCTCGCAAGGTCCTGGTTACAACTGAGTCCAGACTTCAGCACTTAGGTAGGATAAAAGGGACCCTACCAGGAGACCAGGGCATCTCTAGCAGCCTCCGCTCTAAAACATCCTAACCAGGCAGCAAATGAATGTCTAACAAGAGACACGTCACTAGGAAGTTACAGAAGTTGGTACAACCAATACTCAGCGAACCCCTTAACCTACACAGTACAAAATTGCATCAGTTCAGTCCCTTGTTAAACTGCGCACTTGCCATCAGCTCTGATGACCGTGGCTCACGAGTGATTTCAGAGGGATAATGCATCTAAAGCTTTGCATGATTTAAAAGTCAAATAGACATAAAGCTTAATGTTATTTTAAAAAGTAGTCACTTCCTTTTGTCTCTACAGTTCAACCTCAGCTTATCATTTAGAGAGAGTTAAAAGGCACTGGTTAGAAGAACTGTTGCCATTACAAAATATTTTTTATAAAATATAAAAAATGTTTTATAATGGCAACAGTTCTTCTGACCAATGTCTTTTAACTCACTGTTAAAAGATTTATAAAATATAAAAATCTTTCCTATTTTCATAAATTCACTAAAATTGGGATCCCCCGTTAACATGAAAGTTTCTTTCCTTCTACCCACAAGAGTATAAAGAGGCAAAAAGGAATTTCCAAAGGTGCAATAATCCAGTAAGCCCTTCATTTAGATTTGTTTCTAAAACACAAGAAACTGTTTAAATATGCCTAGTTTTTGGCTCTCCATACATGGACTAGCCACTACAGAGGGACAGAAAAGCCATGTGGTAGCACGGGATTCACCAAGCCACACTTGTGACATTAGCAGTGCAGAGTTGTTTCAGATCCGCTTTACCTTCTCATCAGCTGCCAGACAAGTGCAAGGGTCAGCGTTGGGTTCCCGTCATTCAGGTCCTGTCCACCAATGCCAACCAGAGAAAATTTGGCTGGATGCTTCCCCAAGTCTACTGCATAGTTACAGTTTTCTAGCTACACCCACAGGGAGAGAAGTTGAACAAAAATCATGCACCAGAACAATAACAAGACCCCCAATATACAGAGAAGTTTCCCCATTTTGCATTAACTGTATTTCTAGCTAACGGCTTATTTTTCTTACCTTCTTCATGTTTGCCCCGAGCTTGGGGTACGGAGGCTTGTTCACTTTATTCCAGTCAACAGGCACTTTGATCTTCTCATATAACTGCAATATTACCAATGCATCTTGGAGGTCGCTAAAAAAGGGATAGTGCCGGTTAGCCCTGGTGTTCTTTGGTGCACCTTCCCCCTGAGTAGGTTTCCAAAGCACAAGCCAGCAATACAACTACCACGAATGGAGAAAGACTGAACACTTTCTCCCCTGCTTCAAAAGGGGAAAGTTGTGCCATTAAGTTAAATGCAGATTTCAGAGTACCCCGAGGATAACCAACGCCCGGTCAGTGATTTGGCAATCTTGCTGGAGTGCTCCCAATTTATTAGTCCATCGCTAGAAAAGGAAATTAACCAAGCTCCCTGGTCCCCAAACACACCAACAAGAAGCAGCCTAGGTGGAGATACCCCTTGCTAAATCAATGGCAGCATCTAAAAACTGAGGTTGTGCTTTATTAAAAGCCAACTGCTCCTTCAAGAGCCCACCGGCCTGACACCTACCCATAAAGGTGATTTACGTGGGGGTTCACGCCGAGAGAGTTCATCCAGTTACGGAAGGTCCTTTCCTCGCGCGTCTCTCCTGAAAGGACAGAAAGAGACAATGGATTTAGATGCACACGTAACCCCATATAAAAGTAGAGGTTTGGGGCCATTTTTAAGGCTAGCTACATAATATCCTATACTGGCTAAAGCCAGCTGGTGATTACGTACACACTTCATTGCTTTAAGAACAATGTTTGTCCTGATGCCATCCACCAGACTCAACAGGACAGGGGATAGGCAGCTTATTTTTAGGGTGAAAAACAGGTTTTATTTTTTTCCTTCCATGACTTTTAACAAGGAACTTGCAGAGCTACTCATATGCGGTGTTTGAATGTGCGCGGAAAGGATCCATGGTGCATTATGGAAGTAGTTCAGTCTCCAGCTGGGTGTGATTTAGGCACCGGATGCAAAAGACACAGCACAGGCAGCAAGCAGCAGTAAGGAAGCCAGGCACTAAGTTTCTCATCTCAAGGGGCTGTCCCTGACTCACTGCTGCGCCCCTGGGCAAGCATCTCGGTGCCCGCATGAAACCCTGTGCACAAGAAACGCTGCAGCTCCAACTTCTCAGTGCTGCGGTAGGGGTTGATTCATAGGGGGGCTGCAAAGAGGATGGAGTTGGGCTGGTCTCAGGGGGCAGACGACAGGACAAGGAGCAATGGGCTCAAGCTGCAGCAAGGGACGTTGAGGTTGGATATTAGGAAAACCTCTCTCACAAGGATGGTGGTGAAGCCGTGGAACAAGCTCCCCAGAGAGGTGGTGGCATCTCCATCCTTGGAGATTTTGAAGACTCGGGTAGACAAAGTCTTGGCTGGGATGATGTAGTTGGGGCTGGTCCAGCTTGGAGTAGGGGCCTGGATAGATGTGACTCCTGAGCTCCCTTCAACCCTCATTTTCCACGATTCTGTGGTGTAAATGTTGTCATGCAACATCCCCCCCTTTAACACCGCAGCAGAAGAGAAGGTCTTGTTACCTTCCAGGAGAGTCCAGTCGATGTCCTGGTTCTCGGGCTTGGTGAGCGCTGGGTACTTGTTAAACAAGTTTGCCACGAAGGCCAAGTTCAGTTTGGGATTCCCACTGACCACGTCGGCAGGAGTCACAAACTGTCTGCAGCCCAACCTGTCGGCCTGCTGAAGCATGTACTCTGCCCTCTTCAAGTCGTCCTTCTCCTGTGGGAATCAACACGCCTGGATCAGAGCCGGCCTTTGGGCGTAGTCGTGGGTACCACTCAACGATGCCCAAAGGCACAACTCCACTGGATTGCACGAGGCATTTAGAAAGCAGAGCAGATATGCAGAAAGCAATGGAGAAATGCCGTGTTAATTCAGGTCACCATAGGGACTATGTTGGTTGCAATGTGCTTTCTCTAATTTCCGTCTTGTGCAAAGCCCCAAGTGGTGCTTTTTAAATAGGGTCATTAAAATGCATAATTCAGCATGCTGACAAAGAACTGGAGCCATGAATTTATTTGCGCATGTTTGCTTTGTTCATGTTGAAACATGCTGGCATTTAACTGCAGGTCCAAAGCATGGGTTCCCACCAACGCATTCTCAGACACGGATACCCCCGGCATCTTGACAGTCTAGGGGCTGAAGGCAAACTGTCCACGCCCGGCCGGTTTCTAGAATAAGGGTATAAAAGGCTGAATACTTACACTGAAACCTGACATGTTGATATCAATCTGTGGCTCTCCTTCTTTCTGCCCTTTTGGTGCAATTTGGTTGAGAAGATGGAAATAAGCTCTGGAGTCCTGAAATCCATGAAACAGAGCGTCAGCTTCATCTCAGACAGGGGCAAAGCCACAGCAGCTGCACTTTGCAGCCTCCTCTTAATCAAGGCACCGGGCATAGCTACTGTATGTACCTTGACTGAATTACTGAAGTCAATGAGCTGGACAGATAAGAAAAAGAGCAACAGAAAAGCACCACAGCAGAAATCCAGGAGGCATGAGGGGAAAGAGAAAGAAAGTTAGCAACATTCGAGTCAGATTTAATAGCATTTAATCTGCAAAAGAACGGGCACAGTTTTAATTCTTCACACCCCACAGATTGCTACAAGGAAATCAGCAAGTATAAAAAGGCCTTGATCTTTAACTGCCAGCAGAAACCCAAGGTGCTATAATCACACCAGCCTCCGGAGCAGCTTCTTACCCATGGCAGCTACTGTGCTGTCAATATTTTGATTATACAGGGTTTTCTCGCTGCTTCATGTTAATACAATGCAGATATTTTTCCTTAAAGCTGATAAAATCGAGCATTTTAAACTACTGTGGAAAATTTGGAGACACAGGAGAAGAGCTCATAGCCTTGCATCCAGTCGTAATTGTGAAGGAAATGCAACATCTGGGCTTGTTTTTTCTTGTAAAAGCTGAAGTCCATCCCTTTGTGCAGCTGTGAAGAGCCCCACAATACACTGCACCATCGTGAAGACTGGACTTTATTGAAGACCTACATTTCCTCAGTTCCAACACACTACATTTTGGGTAAATATTAGCCGGCAACACAACTTCCATTCAGCTGGAGTGCTCTCCCATACAGATGCGACCAAAACATTTCCAAAGACAATGTCCCCCTTTTTTGGATGACCTCTGGTCCATCGCCTCCTTTACAAGCTCTTGTAAATAGCTTCTGAAAGAAAACTGTCTTGAGCTTGTGTGTGCTTGCCATGTGAAAGCAAGCAAGATGCATACAGCAGTAAAAAAAACCCAAGGGCTTTTGAACTAGTCAGTCTGTCTTGCAAAGACTGAAGTGTCCAAAACAGACCCCTGAGGCTTATCACTGGACAACTGGGTGCAAGCAGGCACTATACGAGTGCAAGCCTCCATGTACATGGATGTTACATCACTGCTGTACAGAGCTGGATCATCTCATGCTGAAGCACTACATCCCTGATCTTGCAAGCATGCGTGTGCATGCTTCACCTCGCTATTCGTGTGTCCTCATTGAAAAAAACCAGTGGCTCTGCTTTAGGCAGTGAAGCAGCACACGCCTGTTTGCAGACTCAGGTCCTAACTCATTAACAAAGCAGCAAATATTTCTGAGGGAATTAAACATCACTTTGTCCATTCACAACCACGTCATGCTGGTGCGTAGCTCAGACGTCTCAGCGACTCCTGAGAGAAGCAGGCGGCTCTCATGTACCTTGATGTCTGAACTGAAGTTATTGATTTTGTGCCACCCAGCATTTTCCAAATGGAAATTGGCCCATCTCAAGAGCAGCTCTTCTGGTGACAGCTTCATAAGATCCTCCAGAGTTTCACCATCACGAAGCAAGGCAGCCAAAGCTGGAAGAAAAAACACAAGGACACTCATAGATACAGGACAGCATTCTTTAAGAGACGACATCTTCCACATTATAATTAAATTTGGTAGGAAGTAGCTTCAACATTTTTGGAAGACTAAGACTTTGATCACATCAAAAAAAAAATTTTCTGCCATTTCCAACTCAGACAAAAACCACCTTGGTTTGTCCCAGTAAAAGTAACAAATGCTTAAGTGGAAAAAGTTCTGTAAAAAAGTTTTGGTCGGGGGTGTGAGTGGAGTTTTTCCATGGCTGGGAGGCTGTAATTATTTAGTGCATGCATTTCAATTTGAGGGGGAAAAAAAGGATACAAGTAATTTCACATATCTTTGGCTGAAGTAAATGACCACGGCTCGAAACAAGCGTTGTCTGGAAGGCCACTGCTAACGCTTATCAGGTTGTGAACGGGCCAGGTCTAGCTCCAACACCGCCGTGTCAGTAGCAGTGGGGAAAGGGAAAATGCAACATCAGAAATGTTTCCAACACAGCTCTTTTGATGACCATTACCAATTTGTTGATGCTGCAGCTTTCTACCAAGATACACTGGTTTTAGCTCAATGGTCATCAGGAAGATGCATTGACTCCAGGACATGGTTAAACAACCATGGCAGGCGAGCCAAGGCCCAATCATCAGGGAACTCACCTGGGATATGAGAGACCCAGGCACCAAACCCTGCCCTGCTGTGAAATGTTGGGGACAGGTGCCAACCCAGGGCTCCCCAACCCAGACAAGTGCCCAGGCAACCCTGCTGCTCACTCAGAGAGACCTCTCTTTTTCAGTGAGTTTTCCAGAAAGTCTAGTTTGTTTCAGTGAAGGAACAAGTGAAAAAATAAAAAATAAACAAACAGGTTTCTCAGAAGGTCAAGTCCCTGCTTTACTCAAGCTCTGATTGGGGCTGGCAGGATGCATCTTTTTCTCTGAAACTCTGACCAAACAGCTCTGATTAAATGCATCCAAGAAAATTCAAGTTCAGTACTGTACAGTGTGTCTATTTTGGGTGGGTTTCTCAAAAACCAAAAACACCTGAAAAAGTCAGTTATCAACTGGAACCTGAAAGATGCATTGTAAATATACATATAATTTAATTTAAATATATACATTTAAAATGCATCTTTTAGATTCCAGTCGAAAACTGAGTTTTCCAGGTTTTTTGGTTTGTAATAGATTAGATTTAGATAGATAGATGCACACACATCTTGCTGATCAGTTTTTTTTTTTATATATATATACACACACACACACACACACACGCAAACATATAAATATACACACATATATACACATACATACACATACATGCACACATACACATATACACACGTATGTATGTATGTATGTATGTATGTATGTATGTATGTATACACACACACACACACACGTGCAAATAGACACACATATATAGATATCTAGATATCTCTCTCTATCTACATCTCTATAGGCCTATAGAGCTATATCTATATCTAGAGAGAGCTATCTTTAGAGCTGCTACAGGCCCATACCTATATATCTGTCTATCTATCTATGGGGCGTGGGGGGTTTACAAAAGGACAGATTCTGACCAGCCCCAGCATCACATGTTGGTTCAGTGCAGGTTTTGAACACATCTACTTACATTCAGGAAAGCATCTACTGCTTTCTGACTATTAGGGGTTTCCCCAGTTGAGAAATCATCTGTCTGCACCTGGAAGCTTGCTTTGGGATCAGTTTATTTGCAGAAGTCGAGGAGACGCCCACCCAGGACAGGAAACCCTTGCTGTTACTGCAAGCATCAAATGCACGCCTGGCCTGTTCACAATGACAACAGCACCGTTAGGGAAGAGCGCAGGGGAACTTGGCCCAATGGACAGAGGCAGTTTCCAGGCCAGACCGATCAGTGAGGTGAGGAGGAAGAAAAGGGCTCGGAGAATATAGCACGGATCATCCATTCAGGCCAAGGTGTGCGGCTTTCATACGTCTCACTCATTCTCCTCTCCTCCCCTGCCCTGCCCTCCCAACAGGACAGGAGCGAAGGTAAATCATCCTTTGCAGTCGGGGTTACCTTCATTTCTGCTGAGCTCGATGTCAGCGAACAAGCCAATCTTTATGATCTGCCAGAGGAGTCCCAGAACCAGATGCGGTTTCCCTTCCCTCAAATCCTCTGCTCCAATATTGACAACGTGACACCCGATGGCGGAGGCAGAATTCAACGCCAAGTTCAAGTTTTCCTGTAAACAATACGGCTCCGTGAGACGGGCTTTGCATTTCATTCGGGGCAGGCAGCTGCGGGACTTGCCTCCCCTGTTAAGGAATGAAAACTTTGTCTTATGGCAAAATTCGGATGCATTAAACTCCAGCTTGATTTCTTTTAAAACGAGCTGTCTCTGAAACAGGACTAAATTAATATGAACAGAATAAGACCCACGGGTTTCATTTCAGCTTCTAGTATTTGGTTTCAGCCTGAGTCGCATCTAGTGGCATTAACAAGATTAAAACAGAAAATAAAATGGAAATCTTTGTTTATAAGCATATACAGAATATTGCTCAATACATGGCAGCTGCATACAGTACATGTATGTGTAATATTAGCAATTTAAAGACGGCATTTTCCAATACATGATTATTTCCATGCATGCTCTCAGACCTCCTTTTGATATGAGAATTAACCTGAGGATGGATTTGTTACAGTATTTCAGTTTTAATATAGCCTGCCAAAGAGACCTTTAGCAGAATTGAGAAATTCCTTTCATCCTTATGAATATTTACAGAACATTACCCTCTACTAAGATTTCCATCTACTACGCACTACAACATTGCCTTTAATTATTAAAAATAATAATAATTTAAACTCATCTCTGCTCTGAAGCAAGGTTTTGAATTAATCAACAGAGCACGCCCAGGAATTATTTTTCCACAAGTCTTGCATGAGCTAAACTTTATTTAGACATAATGAAAATCTTATACCTGGATGATGAATGGTGTGAGTTTTTTCTTGTTGATTGTTCGTTCATCAATTGTGTCCGGAACAGAAAGGTTGATCATTTTGCTGATAAAGAAAAGAAATATTCAAAACACCTTTAAAGCATTTTATCTCAACACAAGTCCTGGCAGGTATCTGCCACAGCAAAGTGCTCTTTTACAAAAAAAGTGCTATTCAAAGTGGTTTAAAATATGAGGTTTAATATTTGTGCCATCAAGGATGTATTTGTAACCAAGCATTCAGTCTGATGAATCTTTAAACACGTTTGCAGCCACCACTGGTCTCTTGGTCACTGGAGTAAAAACTCATGACTTATTCATGCAGCACCAGCAACGACTTATTGTCCTGCTCGCAGCTGCTGTAAATTCCAGGGAAAAGACCTGTTTGCTTCCAGTAGTTTGCATTTTCACAGACTTATCAACATACTTTAGCTTCTTTTCTACTTTGGAGAACTCATAAAAGCAGCAGAGTCTCCCAATGCCTGAAGAAGGGCGTCTGTGCCCGAAAGCTCGCAAAGAACTTTTTTCAACTATTTAGACGGTCTAATAAAAAATATTACATCTACCCAAAGAACATGTAACTCAGGCCCCTGGCACACAGTCATGTAACAGCACAATGGGATCAGATCCAACCCCAACAATCATGCACCACACACACATGGCAAGGCACATGATTTTGGGATCGGGAATCGGATGCAGATGGCACCATTGCTACTTTAGCTTCATCAAGGGCACAGGTTCAATCGCCGGTTGGACAAGATGACTTCTTGGGGTCCCTTCCAGTCCTACTTCTCTATGAACCTATGAGGAGGGATTTGATAGCAGCCTTCACCTCTCTGCAGGGGGGCTGCAACGAGGATGGAGCTGGACTGGTCTCAGTGGGGTCAGACGACAGGGAAAGGAGCAATGGACTCAAGCTGCAGCAAGGGAAGTTGAGGTTGAATATTAAGACAAACTTTCTCCCTAGGAGGGTAGTGAAGCATTGGGACAGGTTACCCAGAGAGGTGGGGGAGTCTCCGTCCTTGGAGGTTTTGAAGCCCTGGGTAGACAAAGCCTTGGCTGGGATGATGTAGTTGGGGCTGGTCCTACTTGGAGCAGGGGGTTGGACTAGATGTGACCTCCTGAGCTCCTTTCAACCCTCAATGCCTGTGATTCTTTGATTTGCCAGTGCAGGGGAGTCTGAGCTCTCCCCTGCAACAGCAAGTTGAAAGCCAGGCACCCAGAGCCCAGCTGAAGCTAAGAGGTCCCAGGGCTGGGACCCAAAACCAGCAAATTTCTGGTCCCAGCCCCGGGGCTGCATGGGAGTCTTGAGCTGGCTCTGGTTACCAAGCCACACATTCAAAATCAGACATGATGAAATTTACCCACTTCTTTGCCTCCATTTTCCTGAGCAGGGACCGGGTCACCCCCCGCACCAACCCCCCTCAGGCCCCAGGGGAGGCGCACCCAGGCCAAGGGTCAGGGAGGATCTAGTCAGGGAACGTCTAGAGGGACTGGACGTGTTCAAATCAGCTGGTCCAGACGATCTCCACCCCCGAGTGCTGAGGGAATTGGCTGCGGTCATTGTGGGACCCCTGGCACAGCTGTACGAGCACTCGTGGTGATCTGGTGTGGTGCCAGAGGACTGGAAGAGGGCCAGCGTGGTTCCCATCTTCAAAAAAGAGAGGAAGGAGGACCCGGAAAACTATAGGCCAGTTAGTCTTACCTCGATCCTGAGGAAGCTTTTTGAGAGAATTATCCTGGCGCATGTCCACAAGGGGCCAGGGGGGAGATC